CTGTGATCTAGTTGCTCCTGGGCTGCTACCTCTCCTTTACCACAGTGGGACTGCTGGCTTTTAGACACACCTAGAGAATGGAGCTGCACAAGGAAAGGGCTAAGGAAGAAAAGAGAAGTTACGAATCTGTTACAACTGACTTCCATTTTTCCCACTTTTGTGATACTCCAAAACCCATAACTTTTGACAAATTTCAGTTATTCATTCATTAGTGAGGTGTTCAAACCCTGGAATCTGCACACTTGGGAAGGGGGTGAGACTGCAGATTTCTCATTTTCTGAGTTTGGTGGACTCCTGGTGAGATCTTTCTGCAACCCAAACACCACATGACCTTCCAAAATGTCTGACCCAGCAGGCTGAGAAAAATAATCCCACAGTAGCTGGAGTAAACGCAGACATATGTTGAGGTCACTGACTACTCCTCTGTTCTAGACCTATTTCCAAAGGTTTTGATTAGAGAGTGGAAAACCAAGCAGTATGATGAGCAAACAATGTATTTAATTAAGGACTAGCTCTGCTGCGCGCCAAAGAAATGACAAACAGAAAAGCTTTAACTTATTATTTCTTCTCAGCTGAAAAGATGCTTTTATTGTGGTCTGAGGTAGTAGTAATGCATGAGATAAAAATAGCTGAGACAAGAATCACTAGAGCAAATGTTTCTAAAACTACCTATATTCTAATCTTCTTCCTTTGCTCTGAACAAGGTGACATCCACTGCAACTTAAACAGTGCACACGATTTATAGCGGTTTTTTTCTTGCAATTTCCAGCATCAGTTATGCCTTAGTACCGAAAATCATCCCAAATAAAAAGAAAAAGAATGTTTCCTTTGCATTACTAGTTTGTTCAGGCTTTAATTTCTCACTGATATTACATACGGTTTAAAGCAAGCAGGGTGATTTCTCCTATATAGGAGACAGTAGTCTCATCACAGATAAAACAGGTATTTCAATCTTTCTGATGCATTTCTATTCTTGTTACTTCTGAATTGCTTAAAAATAATAAGAAAAACACTATCATTCCAAAATGTAGTGCTCTACAGCTCTTCCAGTACATTGTGATACAAAAGGAGGCAAAAAAAAAAAAACCCAAACAGAAAAAAAAACCACAAATGGAATAAGCTCCTGATGAAAACAAACAAACAAACAAACAAACAAACAAACAACTCCCCTACATTTTAAGTCAATAGTAGACATGTAGGACAAAGCAATGGGATTTCTTGCATTATATGCAAAGACCAAAAAGGTTACATCTGGAGTTATTCCTCTTTCATACCACTGTTAGAAAAAAATTGTTGCAGTCATTTTATGGCCCTCACTACCTGACAGTGTTGTTTTTTTTTTTTTCCCTGAGAGTGAGCAGTTATTTTCTCCGGAATTAATTAATCTCAGTCAGTCTGAAGAAACTCTCTGTGAAGTTGATAGCTTGGTAAGCCTATGAATGGACTAAAATGAGCTGTTGGAATACATTTTCTATGCCCCATATTTTTTGCACCTATGCAAAACCATTTCTTACATTACTTGTTGAACAACAGCATCCTGACCTTACATGGAGAAATTCATTCTGTGATGAAAGACTACAATATAGCTTGTACGTATTTTCCAGAGGAGGAAATGACAACACAGGCATTCTAACCTTTTCAGGTTATCTTAATCTCTACTTTCTGTGGAGGCTCTCCTCATTCATGATCTGGAGAACTGAGAGAACTGGAATTTTATCTGATTTATCTGATTTTACCTGATTTTTTTTTTCCACTCTCACAAAACCAGCCGTAATGTGGCTTTACCATGACTCAGAGACATATGGTAATACACAGCTTAACACTCCAAAGCTGAAACATTTCAGGTTTTTAAAAATTGTATCAATTCCATCTTTTACTCATTTTCAGGGTAAAACCTTGAAATCTTGAAGACAACTGAATTAAAGTCACATTATGAGAATTCACTAGGATTTCATCAGAGGGGGACTGCAAGTCAGTGTAAATAACGAACATGGATTTTGAGAGAAAATCAAGTTGTTAGCCTGCAATTGTAGAAACTGCAGATGGGAGTTGCGTAAAGAGGGAAAACTCCTTCAGGCTTGTTTGGGCAGATGACATACAAGCCTGACACACTCAAAACTCTATTCATAAACTCTCCATCTGAACAGAGGACGTTAAGAACGTAACAAAGCAATCATTTTTACTGGGCTTTCTTTGCCAGTAAATTTGACCCAAATATGCCTGCACAGAAAGCAAACGCTCTACTTCTAAGCTTTACAGAGAATAGTAACATCTTCAAACTCATAGCTGATCCTGCTGCAAGCAGGAGGTTGGCCTAGAGACCTTCTGAGGTGCCTTCCAACCTGAATTATTATGTGATTCTAGAATACAAAAATATGACTCAGCAGATTAAAAAAATATAATCAAATAAGAACACATCCATTGGACCAAAATAAAATAGTTCTTGTAAAAATACAGCTCAGTACGATCGAAAAGGAAAGTCTACCTTGAACTAAATGCCCATTCTCATGAAACACACCTAGAGTTAATCAAATTCATTTTAAAAAGTAATCTAAGTTATGTTTTTCCCACAAGAAAGTAATAGTACTGGAAGACAGTTGATAGTCTGTTATTATCTTATGCCATATTCCAGACAGAGTTCAAGTTACTTTACCAGGAAAAGTTACCTAGTTTCAACATCAGCAGTGCTATAGCATCTGTTAAAGGTGTCTGCTGTGGTAAACATCACCATTATCTCCAGTAGCCTCTCACTTTAATACAGAGAAACTAATCTGAAGACATATAGCATCCCAGTATCTACCTGTATTTACAGGAGAGGACAACTTCCCCCATCCAATATCAAGAAGTACAAGAGGAGACAGCATGGAGAGGAGACAGCCTTCTTAGATTAGCACACTGCTTACAGGGATCAAGGTACACTTGTAAGATCGATAGAACTAAAAGCTGCAATGAATGAATACTTGTACTCAACTGTCACCAAAGTGGTACATGACAAAAAAGTTTTTTCAGAAGAAATGATTATGGTAACCATGCAGTATCTCCAAGTACTTGAGGTGAGAAGGCATATCTGTATCACATTGTTATTATCTTTAACAATTTTTTGGAAGAAAAAAAATCATAAAACAAATATATTTTTGTATAGCCAAAACATAGTGAAGAAATTCAAGAGAGGCTGCTAGTTTACCAAAAGGTTCTCAGGAGGCCGCCTCTTGCACAGCATCTAGCCTATCTCAGTAAGTCAGCAATGAAGCTCATTAGTAAGCAGCCCTTGTATCCCCACATAAGTACTTTTTCATTGAATAAAAGCATCATTCTAATCATTTCTCAATAAAAGAGCTATATTATAGCCATAAAAAAAGAAAGAAAAGACTTATGCAAAAGAGTTTTGAACTAATTAGGAAGCGGAAATAGGTGTAAAACTTCAGTTTCATAAAAACTTAAGTTTTGAAATTGGTTTCTCCACAGAAGAAAAGCATCCTAATATTTGGAGGAAGAAAAATTCTAAATATTCACAAAAGTCCATTGTTCTCAAATTCTCCAAGACATTACATATCCAATTCAGTGCATATAATACTTTTTAAAAATATAAAAATCAAAAGAAAACTCTAAGTATACCAACGTTATCAAAACAAAATGAGAGAGGAAATAATTAAGATGCTTCCCCTCTGAAGAAAGTCACCAAAATGAACATATTAATTCTGGTTTTGATTAAATCACATTTTCCAGCAAGATTTTTTTCAACTAAAACTACTGAACAGAGCTAAGCAAAGTTTTACAAAAGGAAGAAAAACATTCTAAAATTCAGAAAAGGACAAAAGTTTTACCAGAAGACTGTATGAATCCTGATTACCATTTGAATCCTTGAATTTATCTCCTTTGAAGAGAAAATTAGACTTTTTATGACTGTGCCTACACAGTTTGGTAGGGGCAGGGCAGAAGAAGTAAAAAGGAGCATCAGTTTTGTCAGCCTAGGGGATACAGTGAACAGTAAGTAGGCAATAATTATAAAAGAAACACGGCAAAGGGAAGGATTGTGGAAAAAGCTGACCGCTATCAATGGGATCTCTGCTTGAGACAGAGAATTAGATCCACCACTGAAAGGTAGGAGGCCTGTAAATGTATTCTTGGATGCTATCGTCTTGGTCCGCTGACCTTGATTAATTTCATTGTACTACCTAAAGGTTACAGGTACCTCACAACAGGAAGCATAAGTCTCTGTACCTGCATGAAGTACGAGTTTGTCTGCAGCACTTCTGTTTGCTGGAATTCCACAGAGGAAACAGCAGAGAAGTACTTTTTCATTTCTACTGTGGCTTTTACTGGCAAGGACCAAAGACTCATCCCAGTCAGACTCTTACACATCTCCCTGCATTTCATATGCACTGCACATACAAGCTGAGTTAGCCTGTCAGGAAACCGACATTTGACAGCCACTAAAACCTGCTCATTACCTGCCCTTTTAAGTTCATCAGCAACTTTTCAAGAAGATCATCAGGTTTTGATGAGCCTGATTTAACTTTGAGATCAGCCTTACTTTGAGCAGGGACTTCGTCTAGAGACTTCCAGAAGTCCCTTCCGATGCAAATTATTCTACAATTCAATGAAGAAAAGTTCTACATAGAGTAATACAGACCATTACACTCCATTATTCTCTTCTGAGGATGTTTGGAAGAGATGGTAATCAAACTACACTGATAAAAACAGTAAAGTCTGAATTTGTGAGATTCATGATTATCTGTATTTAATTGAACTTGAGAGTTATACGGGTTCCCAAGTAACTTTTTCGTTTATATAAGAATATAATTTCATAATCATATATCTAATTTTGCAAAGTTCCATAACAAACAATTAATACTGCACAGGCTTTTATGAAAATAAAAGGTTTTCAAGAGACTTGCAAATATTTGCAAAAACAAATTATTCTTAAAAAGGAATCTAAAGTCAGTTGCCTGCAATATGAAAATGACCACAGACACAAATACAAAGAAATCTGTACTTACAGTTCTATTGCCTTGTTCCACATGATAACATATCCGGAAAGAATGAAGGACTCGATATTTACAATGTGTGTATTTCCCCTCTCTGTTCCAACATAAAGCCATTTACTCTGGAAAGGTAGATGACAGTAAGTAATCCTGTAAAGGAAAAAGAAAAAAAAAAAGTGACTGAACACTGTATCAACAATATTTTCAGCACATTTACCGATGAAATATCTGTCCTTTACATCTTAAAATTTGAGGAAAGGCTGGGCAGCAGTTTTCAGCAAGTGCAGTTTTTGCAGGCCTTCTACAGAAAAATCACACTGGGGGACCTGAAACAAAAAAGGGCCATCCTGCCTGCCTATAGTCAGGGCAGGGAAAAAGAACCATAGTAGCACTTGAGCACGCTAGTTACATTATCTCCAGGAATATGCAAACTGCACTATTAAAGTATCCAAGATTCTCAAGCTAGGCCTTCTTATTTTCATTCTTACAATAAGCTATTCTTCCAAATCAACAAAGAGGAAGTTGATGGAACATCAGCATGATTAATGTTTTGAACAACAGAAGTGTAACACCATCATTCACACAAGAAAACATTCACTCTATGAGCTGCTAGTTGGGAGAGCAGGTCACTAGATAGAGCACTACTAAGTGCAGCCAAGCATTATTATGATATACGCTCTGAATCCTACGTTCATATCATTCCTACAGAGTGATAAACCAGTGCTCTATTAGTTTGGATGTCATAATAATTTCTCATGATAACACGTAAAAATTCGCACAGATATGATGAATGAGTAGATTCAGGTTTTTTTAATATTATAGTATTCACATTCAAACAAAACTGATTCCACATAAGATACAAAACTATTTGTGGCTGAAATCTAACTGAATGTATGTTACCTACATAGACTAAAACTTCATCTGATCCCTTGGAGCCACAGGAGTTTTTACAAGAAGCAAGTATTTTGCTTAGTAGGCCATACATGATTATATTTATCAGTCAATTCCACAGGCAAGGTATTTCTAGCTTTGATGTATAAGCTAGAGTTAACAGCTATGCAATAATTTTTATCCTTAAAAAAAAAACCAAACAACAGCATGCATGAACATATATAATTCCAATTTATATTCTTACGCTAGAGCAATCTTTGAATTCATTATAAAAGAATGAGAGGAGTGCTGGCTATCTTCCAGCAATTTAACCTTAAATATGTAAAGTCCTCTGAGTAGAAGAGGATTTGCCACCCTTGGAATTAAAGGAATTGTTTAACATTAATACAGATTTCACATATTTTCTGTAATTGTTCCATCTATGGGATTCTCAAACAGAAAGATTCTAGACAGATTCTACACAGTATTTGCACAGTTTTACAGTTTTGAAAGTATCTGCTCATGTGTCAGAACATTTACTGTTGAATGCGTTACAGTGAGCAAAATTTATTTTTACTTTATATATCACTCTAGACTGAACACAGTTGAGATATGCAGTCTTCAAATACTGATTTATGGGCACAATTATCACTAAAAAGGACTCCAGCACAAGGTTTACCCTTCACAGATATCCTGTTTCGTTGATTCAAGTGAGACTGAAGTGTGATGCAGGCTTTGTTCTGGCCATCTGCACAGGGGTTCATTTTATTATTAGTGGTCTAATTATGGCAATGATTGCACTGCCTTTAGTGGGAAAAGGATCAAGTTTTTTCAAGACAATGGCTTTCAGAATGGGAATCAGTTTAGTGTGTGTAAATAAAAACACTTTCCAGCAGCAACTTAGTACTTATATTGTGAGTGCAGTCAGATCAACAAATACGATACAAACAATTGCAAGAAAAGTATGCCACCTACATTTTCCTTGCTGGAATTTAAGCTCTTAGCTTTATTGTTCTGTTCTTAAAAGATGCAAAGCAAAAATTACTCTTCCTGTGAGTTCCCTGATTTTTTTTTTTTTTTTAAACTGAACAATTCAATTACTTTCTCTTCAGAAGCACCATTTGCTAGACTTCTGGTCAGATTCATATTTAGACTTATTTTTCTAGTTTCTACACTAGCTCTGCTTTTCTTTCTTGTTCTCCAGACTATCTGTGGTACATGCATGCTTTATTAGGTTCCAGTCCCATGCAAAAAGCTCCTTAGATGCCTGGCTGATTAATCCTCTTAACCACCTCAGACTAATGCTTACTCAGCTCTTGTTTGTAGAAAATTGTTAAATTACAGAAAGAGAAAAAAAAATGAAAATTGTGGTGAAAAATGTAGCTGTCTAATGACTGACAAATGACTTGTGAGTGACAGAGTGAACCCTAGTTGACTCGAATGCTGCTATTCCAAATTCATGCATTTGTGTCATCAAGCTAGCAGGTTTAAGTCCACCTAGAACAACAGTAATTTTCAGCATTCTGACAAATCTGTTCACAAGCTATTGTGGTGTAGCGCAAAAAAATAGATCTCCACAGCACAAGCTTGAATCAAACTTCTTGATGATGAACAAAGACTCAAAATCACCTCTGACACAATGCAATACTGCTTTTGCTTGCTATTTTTCCTTTTTGAAATTTGCTTCTAATAGTTCTAGGTTACCTTCACCAGCATTTACTGCAACCTCAGTCTTCAAAAGGAAGTCTAATTGCCCAACTATTGCATTTCCTCCATTTGCCCACCTTGATTTTAAAAATTCAAGAGCAACGTTTCAAGAGCAAGGTCCTGCTTTAAGAGCATGATCAAACCAGAGCATAAATCACTGGCCATCAGCTACTATTCTCATTTTCCAATGTGGCCAAGTCGAAATCCCAGACACTAGTGGCTAAGTCTGCGTATGTAGTATGAAGGACCAGAAGAGAAGTAGCAGTTGCTTAAATACAAAGACAGTGACCACAAAGTCTACTGCTGTCTTAAGCTCAGTTATTTCTTCTTAAATAATTTTATTTTGTTTTGTTAAATATATGGGACAGCCAGATGAGAAAATATTCTGCATATTCTTTCTTCCACAATGAAGACCACAGCACGAGACTTCATTGTTTACCAAAATTGTTACTACACATTATCAAACGCTACCTTTTAAAATACGTGACTTTATAAGAAAATGGTACTCCCTTAAAGAAAATCTACTTCTAAAAAAATCCCAATAAAAAGCAGTGATCAGGATGGAAACATAGACGTGTCTGTATGTCTCTATTGTCTCTTCAATTTGTCCTTGAAGAGCACAGTATAAAATGAAGCCCAATAAATATATAATATGAAATTAAAACAACTGAGAAAATGCCAAAAATACACATAAAACATTCTGTTTTCCACTACAGTAATATAATTGTATGCAAGTTTTCCTAGCTATCAGACTGACCACCTGTAACAAACTTATAAATACTTAAAAAAAATTAAAATCATATTAAAGATCAGGACATTATTAGGAATTTTAATGCAATGTGTTGTTAGGCTTCACCAAACAAAGCCCAATGATTTTCACATTCTCGGAAAACTGCGCTTCTGGAGTAGTTTCCTTAACATTATATAAACTAAGTGTAGACTGTATTACTGAGTCATGGTATTCATGGTATTACTGAATTTTGTTTTACAGGAAATATTAACTTGAATTTGAGGCTTGAAAGCGTTGGCTCAGATTCATAATAAAAATCTTCCATTTCAGCAAGTACTACAGTTACGTAATGATTTCTTCAAGAGAAGACGCTGAAGTCTCATGTTGTAGTTTTTACTGTGGAAGAAAGGCATCCCTCTATTAGTCGTATTTCCCCAAAGCAAATTGAGGTATCTTTTGATGCCTAAACTTAGTCAAACAAGTTGTTATCTCACTCCGGTTGACGTGAAACCTGAGTAAATGGAGTCCTGAGAACGTGCTCAACATTAACCACTTACAGGAAGTCTACAACAGCTGTGGATATTCTACATTCTTAGGAGCCAGATGTTAAATAGCAGCAAAAACAATATGAATCTCATTGGCCGTTATAAGATATAGTAAAAACTATGCACTAATACTATGAAAGGAATTTCTACACAGTCAAAAATAGACTGGAACATTGTATCAGTTTTTCAAGGTATTTAAACACAAAGCAGGATATAAAACATAATAAAAACTAATAGGTGCCAAATAAAACACCTAAATGAGAATTTATTATGCAAAAAAACATTAGATAATTTTAGAAATGTTTTCAAGATTTTATAAAAGCTATGAGAAATAGCGACTTAACTTAATGGGACATACAAAAAACTGCTAAGACAAAAATTTAAACCTCATTTTAAAAAGGAATATATTATTCCTGACTAGCAAATCTTGAGAAGAATTTTTAAGAAAAATCACAGCACTCTACAGACTAAGAATTCTGACCAAAAAAATCACATTACATCTCAGTTGAATACTAGAAGTTTTAAAGAGTTTAGACTGCTACATTCCTTGATATACTAGTAAAACATTTAGACAGCTTAATATCATCTTTATTGCAGCAATATTGAAAAGGGAAATTATACTGTTCAAAAAATAATAGATAACGTCCAGAACATTTCCTGCTGCTTTGTTATTTCTGTTTTTCCATTTTTTTTTTGTATGAACAAGTTTCCTGAAACATTTTTCCTGGGGGGAGGGGAGAAATAAATAGTATTTTTGTCAACGCTTCTGGAATAAATAGTTTATCCAGTTTCATTACTTACTTTCTCATTCCTTGAAATCAAAACTTCAGCTGAATTTGTATTAACATATGCCTTCCCCCCGCCCCTCATAGATATGGGCAAGTATATAACTCATAACAGCCCGTACGCCAGGTACTGACTGGCAGTAAAAAGGGTTCAGTTTCTAAAACTTACCACTAAATCAAACATCAGCTCAAATCCCCACCCCAGAAACCTAAATTACACCTTGTAGGCTCTCAAAAATGATGCAATCTCCTTAGTATGTTTACAGCAAAAAGGTTTAAACAGAACTTAAGGAGAAGGAGAAGAGGAAAGTGAGAGATGACAGAGCATTACCTTGGGAAAAAGTAACTGACAGCAAGCAAGTCTACTAGCTGCAAGGCACACCAGCTGCGGTCCTGGCCCAGCCTTTTCTCACAGCTGTGAGCAACTACTAAGCTATCTAGACATGGTTTTTAGACCCAATTCATAGTGCGTTGGTGTCGAAACATGGTTAAGTCCTTCTGCTGAGAAAGCTG